TCTATATGTCTACATTGTTCCTTGCCCTTAACATTATTAGCCTACATTGCCCTGAACATCTATATGCCTACATTGTCCCTTACCCTGAACATTATTAGCCTACATTGCCCCTTGTCCATGTGCATAAATGGCAAACATTCCCATGTGTAGATGGTGATGATGATGGTGATGATGGAGGTTACCCAAGCGACAAATTAATATGCGTATTCAGGACGAGAACATGTTAATACAATATGAAAATTAATTCTGCTTTTTACTAGACCGACACGCTGAGCCGGGTTATTAACGTTCTAGTTCACAAAGTAACAGTCCGCAGGAAGACATGTCACGTTACCTGGCCCCATTATCTGGACTCTGATCCGACCAGTCTTTACTCTTACTTCTTTATGACGCGTGCTTAGCGGAGAAGCAGCAAATACTAATATTAAAGTCTTTGCTTTGACCCGATCGGGTTTCGAACTGACGACCTCCTGCACTCGAAGCAAAAAACGCTACCATGAGACCACCGAGGCGTTTCCCATATGTAGAAATGGCAATTTAACATCCCAATGTGAAGAAATGGAAAACATCCAAATATGTAGAGATGGCAAACATCCCAATATGTAGAAACGGCACACATCCCTATGTGTAGAAATTGCAAACATCCCTATGTGTAGAAATGACAAACACCCCCTTGTGTAGGAAAGGCAAACATCGATCCACATGTGTAGAAATGACAAGGATAATTGTGTACCAAGCTTGCCTTCTGTTTATCAAAAGCTTCTAGATGTAAATATTGTTAAAGTTTGATTTTAATGATCAATTGACAAAATGAAATCTTTCTTTTGAGACATTTTACACAAGTTACAACAAATGTTGTTCGAATACCTATTTCCATCAGTCCTGTGTTCATTTTTCTCAAAAAAGAAGATCAAAATATCAAATGAAAACAGTAAAAGCTATAACAAATAGACATATAACAGCCTACATAAAATCTGCTGCACACAGATCATACAATTATTTTCTTGTTCACGCTTTTCATCTGTAAATGTTTATAAAAAAATATTTTTTTCTATGACAATTTATACAAAAGCACACAATCAATTCAAATTGGTACACTATGCATGTTGTAGTTCAAAAGGTGTGTTTACCCTTTAATCACAATACCTAAGTTAAAACAAACAAATCTTAAAAAATAAAGATTGCAAATATAAATTGTATAGTGTTCTCTAACGTGCAGTTTCCAACCTAAGTTTTCCAATATATACTGTAAATTTTGACTTATCTTTTGAAAACAGGCTTTTATAAATCAATTTTGTTATTAACCAATTTTATAAAACATAGATATATAGTCTACTTAAAACTGCAGAAAACAGTTGTCATTTCACAGATCAGTATCACCCTACATCAAACTGCTTAAAGTATTTAATAACAGGTATTATATAGTTTAATTATAATATTGTTCTCGATTGTTCTCGATTTAGAAAATGAAATGTCATCAATTTGGTTTCCATGGAAATTCAATTTGCATCCAAATGAGGGTGAATATTTGGATAAATAATACTTTATTTAAAGGATTATGATTGGTAAAAAGCAACCTCGTCCAGACCGTGTATATTTCATATGGGGTTAGTAGGCGTGGTTTATTTCAATACACTGTTAGTTGTGGTGTTACTTCCCTTTGTAAAAACAACACGGTGTTGAGGAAAATCTAAAAGGTTTCAACAGACGAAGAAATTGATGATGAACGATTGCAATAAATTCATTAAAACATATTTAAAGCTTACAAGTTGTTACTGTTGGCATTTAAAAATATGCATGTATACCAAAAATGAGGACTACACAAAGAACAAATTTATCAGACCCTTTCAGTCAAACTATCTATACTCCATAATACTCTATACAAAGCACATAACTATCGTATTTCACCTCAAAAGCTAGTCAAACTTTAAACAGACTTATTCAGAAGGGATATAGTTACGATACTGTTGTCAGATCATTAAAGATGGCATTTTTTTTTTTTTTTTTTAGATTGATATTGATTCACTCATAGGGTCTTTGCATCGGAAATAAACACATTTATTCTAAAACCAGCTGTTGGCATGATACAGGTTATGTTCTTCTCATATATTTTATGATGGTATGATACTAAACGGCTAACGGGAGGGATTGTGCATGATTTTCTTATGATGAAGACATAATTTTTCAATAGGTTTAATTGAGGTGTGGAGTTGGTATGTCAGTAACTGCTAGTAGTCCTTTGTTAATTTATGTATCATTGTCATTTTGCTTTTTACTTCTGTAACCTTTCCTGACATCGGACTCGGACTTCTTTTAAACTGTGCGTATTGCTGTGTGTTTGTTTATTCTAGATTGGCTAGAGACAACCATTCAAGGCTATATAAAATCAAGTGTTTACTTTTTTACTTGACATGTTTGGTTCTTCATATCCTCATTATTTTAGGTAATTACATCAGAAATTTGTTAATTTTTTTATAGTGTACATCAATTTAGCTCTTGAATTGTGGGATGTGTACATCAATTTAGCTCTTGAATTGTGGGATGATGGACATTCTAATAGAAAAAAGAATCTTCACACATTTTTGTTCAGACTGATTGTATCTAGAATATATCATTTATTTTTAGTCAACAGAGTCTAGCAACAGATCTACATACATGTAAATTGTATGACACTTCATCAAAAAACTTTCAGTGCTTTTATAACTAATAAAAGAGGATTCCCAAAGGGTAAAACATATTAATGGTCAGGAAATACAATAACGAAAAACAAAGGAAAACCACTTTTGAAGTTAAAATGTCTATTTTCTCTGAGCTATTATCAAATTAAACTGAAAGGAACTAAAGTCATTGAAGTATTTTTCAAACTTAACACATAAGTTTATAAATCAGGTCTCATCAACATTATAGGCTGTTTAAACAGAAAACCCGGTTATTCTTACATTCATTTTGTAACTGCCACCTCATTTTGTCATGAGAAACACCATATAAGATTTGAAAAGCACTGGATCAAGCATTCTCAAGTTTTCGCATAAAATGGACATACAAATGTTATTTTCCAATCAATCTAGGACCATTACCTCAGATTGGCAAAAGTGAAAATCATCAGTATCCATCTTTATCTCTATTTTGAAATGAAAAACACCTAATTGAATTTAAAAATCATTGGTTAGATGGTTTAGACGTTATTGCATCAAAAGGAAATAACAGAGAGGCGAGTGATACCAGAGGGGCATTCAACCGCATAAGTCGAATATAAACTGACAACGCCATGGTTAAAAAAGAAAAATATCAACAGACAAACAACAGTACACAAAACACAACATAGAAAACTAAAGACTGAGCAACAGGAAACCCACCAAAATCTAGTGGTGATTTCATGTGCTCCGGAAGGGTGAGCAGATCCTACTCCACATGTGGCAACCGTTGTGTTCCTCATGTTAATACAGACCCGGTAATGAGTATAATTCGGTAGTTCACATTCGGAAAAGTGCCATTTCACTATCAATCAAGAATATAATATATATAAATAAAAGCATAAATTGTCAATATAGTACTTGACCCTTATTTTATCATAAGGAAAAACATATTTAAAACATTTGAAAGCATTGGTTGAAGAGTTCTCAAGTCATAATTGCATGGAAACAACAAAGTGTGGTTTTTTTTTTTTTCGAAACATTCAGGGATCATTTCAACCACTAAAAACAGATTTCTGTCTGAAAACCTACTTAAAATGTGTATAGACTATCTAAATCTTGTCAGCTAGGCTATGTTTTGGATAAGACAGGAATTATGTTATACTTTTTCCTAACTTTATTTCTGATTGACATATGAACAATGAAGTTTTATTTTTCTTATGCTAAAAAATGTAGGATCATATCAATTTTCATGGAAATACGTTTAAGTGACCAATTAGCTTGACACCTAATTTTAACTCCAAATTAATATGCATATAGAATTTCTCATTCTTAGTCATTCTAACTTACATTTAAAGCATATCTTGACCCACAGAAATAGAAAGTGCATGCATGACCTGTTTGTCTGACTCTAAAGTATAAATAGTAGAGTTTATAGAATACATCATTTGTTTTTCCCCTATAAGATTTTTTTCTGAAAAAGTACTTATTTCCTTATTCCTATAAAACTTTTCTTACACAATAGTTTCTTGTGTTTTTTGTCGCACAATGTTGTCCTCAAAATTGGTCATGACATAGCTTTGATTGTTCTTATAATTTTTTAATAATATTTTCTAAAAGTCATCCCGACAAAAATCCCAAAGTATATGATTACTATCATAACTATGTACAATCTTTATATACACCAATAGGAAAACTAAATAAAATTCCTATTGCCCCCTTATCCATCCTCTCATATATTAGTATCTACCTTAGAGTTACCTCAGAACAGATGCTGAGTTTCTTGTTTTTAAGATGATAGATATTTTTACAACATTAACACTTGTACTTGATCCATGATAACTTGCATAGTTTACATAAGTAGTAAACAAACAACAGTAGGCTACAAAGAGGGGCCATACTTAATTTAAAAGAACTTAAATACTACAAACAGAAACATATTCTGTCGAAAAGTTAACCCCTAGGAGCCTCATCCCTTGCAATATAACAAAGTATATAGATTTCTGTAAATCATTTAGTATGTTTGTTCAGTTATTAAAAACTGATGTCTGATTTTTCTCCGATATTTCTGTAATACTAAAATTAAATAAAAATAATAACCCAATCCGAACATTCATATAATGAAACACCTGGAAACGATATCATTTAAATGCAACACAAAATCTAAATTTAGAACCAAGATAGTCATATGTTACAATACAAATTATAATTTGACACAAAACCAATCATATTTTTTTTTACGTTTGTCTGTTTGCATGAAAATTGGATATAGATCTCACCTAAAAAAAAACTAAAACATAAAACATTCACAGAAAGTTTGTCTCACTTACATTTTTGTGATAAAATTCCTGACCAACTAATTATTACCATCAAAGAAAACAAGTGTATAACTGATAGCTTCAGATCCATGTTGAAATGCCTGTACTGGTATCCTGTTGATGTAAGAGCTGTCTATAGAACTACCATTGATGTTCTTATGGAATAAATGTACCTGCAAAAATAAGTGAAAACAGTCATGCTTTTTTCAAATTGTTTGTTCCTTTAAAAAAAAAAAAAAATTCTGCTGAAATTAGTGTTATATAAAAATATTCAAAGAAAGATGTGTCAAGAAAGATTTGTTGGTGTTCTAATTCATTTTTCTTTACATGATTAACAAGTTCTATATTCTGATTGTTGGTTGCTTAACGTCCAGTGGTAAATAGTTTCTATATTCTGTAATTTCTATCCATATCTAAACCTATAGAGGTCACTCTATTTGCTATATGCTAAATGTGTTTTCTTTGTTTTCCATCAGGTAACAGAAATTATCTGATATTTCATTAACATCCTAATCCCATGTCCCTTTTTAAAAATAAGGATTTTCTTCCTTTCCTAATCTTTTTTAAATCATATTTCTCCCAGAAAATGATATTATCAGAGAAATTTTCATTTAAATTCAAAGAGGATGTAAATGGTAATGTAAGGTATTATGAATAGCCACATATAAAGAACATCATATGGCTTTTTCAATATCACACCTTAGCAATCCAAGACATAAATTTAATCCCAAGACGTGCTTAAACGGCTGTGGGTAACTTAAGTTACCCACAGCCCAAGATGGCGGACTCTCAACCAGTTGATATATAATTGATACAAAATCTACTTTTTGCTACGTTTTTCATGCTCAATGTAAATATTGATAGGATTATTGAATACAGAAATCACTTACCATCATCATACATTTGTTAAATTTGAATTCACTTTAGCACAAGGCCAACTTTTAAAAATGCATAAGATGTCCGTAACTTATTAGTCAAAACTAATCAGACTGTCCGTAACTTTATTTTCGGATGTTGGTAACTTTTTTTTTTTCAAAATTGTAGATTGACAATTTCAATAATTTAAGGATAATAAACACTTTCAAACACCTTAATTATTACCTAGATTTATATAACTACGATATGCTTCAAACTAACCAAGAGAAAAAAGAACTTAGCTATGAAAAAAACAGACCAGAGTGTCAAGGATTTACCGTTATTTTTTTTTAAAATTATTCCCGATTTTCATCTTCCGCCAATGGATCGTGAGACGCAGGTATTAGAAGGACCGACTGAAGAATCAGCAGTAGATTCTACTGATACCATTGTAGTGGTAAGTACATTTATCATACCAAACTCCTTTTTAACATTTAGATGTTAGATAAGTTGAGATATGAGTATTCTCTACAGTACACCGATAAACAGTCCAATATTCAGTTTTATAGAAACTACCCACAAATCTTTCTGGTTTTATGGAAACGATAAAAGGCATTCCTCTTAGATTTCTAACTAAAATTAATAGATTACTTTCGAGTTCGTTGCAGTTCCGTCAAAAACTTGGTTTTAGTGAACAAATTAAATTTTTATACTTGATAATCAACACTGCTGTTATTAGGGATTTGTGATTAAGAACCCAAGGAACAAACATTATTTCTAGTTTATTCAGCATAATGACGATCAAGAAGACGTTTGACGAACTTAAATAGTGCAAAATATATATGCGATCCTATCTATCTAGTAAATGACGCCATAAAGGCGCACTTAATTGACGAACTTTTCCGGTGAAGGACGTAACTCGAAATTAGTTTATTGATTTTTCACCTATATTTTGTTTTATTCTCAGTATGTCTCCTGAGGTATAAAAACAAATTGCGAAAGGGGGGGGGGGAGTATTTATATGATCTATTATTATATATAAATGTTTATTCTTAGAGATTCTTAGTTAATATGTACAGTGAAAAGGAAAAGAAATAATTGAAAAAAATTATTTTATCAATACAAAAATAATCTAATTGCAAAATTCGTTATTTAACCCTTTGTTATCAGATGACTTCTGAAACTTATGTTTAAATATGTTCTGAATAAAAAAGGATAACGTTTACTGTAATTTAAAACGTGTAAATTTTAAAGGATGTTTCACTAAATAGTATAACTAGTACAAATGTATGTATACAAGTTTATTGTTTGTTTCTTGTTATTAAACTTTCCAATTTCACTAAGTGGCCGCATAGGAGATTCCATTGTAATTTTTCAAAAGTGCAGAATTGTGCTTTGTTTACAACAGGCCAACATTTCTGTTTGTGTGTTTGAAATTTGTAATGACAAAATCACAATTTTATTAATAGCCGCTTGAACAGTAAATTTGCGTACAAAAAATTATATGCAGTTACTGTATAAATCTTAATGAAAAAGGCTAAAAATGAAATTTTGGCCCAATAGACAAAGAAACTTAATACTTATTACAATTCTGCGTATTAGTTCCTAAAGAGTGGAGTTCTAATGTAATGAAACGGTCCAACTCCTTTTTGATCAGTGTCACTTGTATATTAACTATAAATTGCCACACAAAAAAAGGGGCAACACCATGGACTCCTCTTCTGTCTCTGCCACTGTCTGTACTTGGAATTTATGTTAGACTTTTTAAAGAACCAATGTTTTTGGACTTATTCATTTAAACTTACAGATGTTTGGTCAATTTTGTTGGAACACGCCCAATGGTTTATCTTTTCAGATAGCAAAATAACGAAATTCTGATAGTTTTAAAAACTTCATCTGAACGTTTTATTAATATAAAAATTATTATATTTTTTGTTTTATGATTATATTATAATTGTTATATATCAATATACAAATGGAATGAGTAAAGACCTTATTTACATATTATCAACTTTTTCATGAAATGAAATAAGACAACATGTACATATGGAACACTTTATAACTTTTGCTAATTTTGTAATGATTTAAAAAAAAACATAAATCTGTGAACATTTGATTATTGATTATGTTTCAGGGAATGATATTTCAGCCTTAGATGGTTCAGTCCTGGTTTTTTTCACCAACTGAAAACAGCACACCTAACCACGAAGGGAAAGTTATCCAAAATTTAAAAGGTATATATTTTGTTCAGTTCAAATAATAAAAATGTAGGCTAGCCTTAAAAATTTTAATGTCAGTTTTCAAAATGAGGCTAATGTTGAAATGGCTGAATTAGACAACTAAGAACACTTTCTACATGTATATTCATTTTTTGACCGTGAAGGAATAAACAAAAGTGTCACCGGCCTGTGTGTGTTTTGTCCGAACCATAAAGGAGTATTTTCACATAAATGACTTTGTGTTTTTATGAACAAATCTGGAAGTTCTATGAAATAGATCACTCCTACTGTCATTGTATGCATTATTATGTGTAAAGGAAAAAAACAATCTACTAACTAGAAAAAAACTTTATTTTGCATTTTTTATTGTACGTCTTTTTTTCGAATGTAATAATCATATTTTATTTTAATCTTTCAGTATGTGATGATTGTGGTAAAACTTTTAGATCAATACCTGGGCTCAGGGAGCACAAACAGAGGGAGCATGGACAACAACGTTATACATGTGGGCAGTGTAATCAAGGCTTTATGTCCAAAACATTATTTAAGTCACACATCCTGCAACATTGCCAGGTTTATATATTATGTACTATTTATTACCTTTGAAAAAAGGATGTTCATCAATGACACAAAATCCCAATAAAAAAAAGAACACGTTGTAAAAAACGGAATCATCCAGGAGGCGGCAGGTGGTGTTCAACATTGAGCAACACCCCAATACAAAGCAAACACTTAGTCTACTTTTTAACTCTTACAATTATAAAAATAAAACATTGACTTGTATTGATTCGACCGGGTATCTTGAAGCCATTCTCTTGACTAAAACTAAATCATATGGAACAACATCTTTTAGAGAATACTTCACACGGCAATTAAATTTTTTTACTATTATTATTTCAGGAAAAACAGTTTAAATGCAAAGATTCTAAAAAAGAATATGTCCACAAAAAGAACTTGGATAACCATATCACTGAACAGCATCGTGAGAATGTTTTTTCGTGTGACAAATGCAGTCAAACATTTGCTTATCAAGAGTCCGTGAGGAGACATATTGATGTCGTGCACAGTGGCAAGAGGATAGTGTGTGAGTTATGCACTTTGTCTTTTAAATATAGAGCAAATTTTAATAGACACATGAAAACAAAACATCAGTAATGTAATGAATACAATAAAACTATCTAACAAAACCAGAAATCTGAATTTTATTTATTCGAATAAAAGGTCAATTTCGTTGTCCATTAGTCCGTATCTCCTATGTTTGGTTCTCCGAATGAAGAGATGGTTACACTCTTTCTTTTTGGTGTTTTTGTTTTACGGGTTGGCATATCAAAAGGATGAGACCTATATAAAAGTATACAAATGAAAATTAAATGTGAATATATATCAGACCTATATAAAAGTATACAAATTAAATTCAAATATGAATATATATCAGATCTATATAAAAGTATACAAAATAAAGTGAAATTTGAATATATATCATATCCTTTAAAGTTTCAGATAATATGTAAGAAAGGACCTGAGAACATGACCCTAAAACAAAATCGAAACATGTATGTAACAAAGTTGCAGAAGAAAACCCAGTTCTTTTGTTGCTGTTCTTCACCTAATAAATTGCAGTGAGATCTTTAAACAGAGAATTTATCACCTCAATGCAAGTTAGATATTAATGTTAATTATGGTTAAGAAAGATACCACTGAAATGACTCGGACACAAATTAAAATACTTTTGTTGTTGTTCATCGTCTTAATAAGTTGCGGCAATTCACAACTGGAAAAAGACATGAAGGACCGGTTGAGAAGAATTCTTAGTTGATTGTCGAAAAACTTACCATTTTTGCCAAACTGACTATACTTAGGTGGTACACTTAGCTTAATTCTATACAGTTTGTTTCAACCTGTGATTCAGATTGATCTTAAAAATTGTCTGTTCTAATATAACTCAAGCAATACACGAACCTTTCGTGATGTTTTCATGACAAATTTTCTGAAATAAATATGCAAATTATTTAGTACCATTGCGTTTTTATTTTCGAAATACATTTTTGATGATTACTTTCTATGTATTTTGTCAAAATTTTTATAATAAACAAAATAAACAAATCTAAAATACCGTTACCAACAGAACCATTACTAAAACCATAGTAAGCATAACACCCAAATAGAGTCAATAAAGTAACTAATTGACTTAGTGGTTTGAGAGGAAGAGTCTACGGAAAGACGGGCGCTAAGAAATAACAATAGGTCATACCAATTTGTTCGTCCAGCAATATAATAAAATGAACATTATTGTATATATATTTTAATTCATGTAAGGGAATTCTTCTTACCTATTAGCATCGAGCCTTTGTCTAAACAAGCACACTGCAGATCTCAAAGCTGTAGGAATGTCCTCTGGCCTTAGAACTCTGGTTCCTTTCGGGTCATAGTCCTATGAAAAAAGCATGAAAACATTTTTGCAGTTGATAACTTTTGATAACTTGTAGTTTTTTTATGTTAAATAATGTTATATGTATCCGAATTACTTTCAAATTTATCTTTATAATTTTGAAACTAAGAGCGTTTGAGTTTATTGAAAACAAGATGGCTGACGGACGAAGACAGGAACTGCACACTCTTCTACAGCGCCTGATTTCTTTCCTGGTTTTGATAGATACTAAAATTGAGAATGGAAATGGGGAATGTGTCAAAGAGACAACAACCCGACCACAGAACAGACAACAGCAGAAGGCCACCAACAGGTCTTCAATGCAGCGAGAAATTCCCGCACCCGGAGGCGTCCTTCAGCTGGCCCCTAAACAAATATATATACTAGTTCAGTGATAATGAACGCCATACTAAACTCCAAATTGTACACAAGAAACTAAAATTAAAAATAATACAAGACTAACAAAGGCTAGAGGCTCCTGACTTGGGACAGGCGCAAAAATGCGGCGGGGTTAAACATGTTTATGAGATCTCAACCCTCCCCCTATACCTCTAGCCAATGTAGAAAAGTAAACGCATAACAATACGCACATTAAAATTAAGTTCAAGAGAAGTCCGAGTCTGATGTCAGAAGATGTAACCAAAGAAAATAAACAAAATGACAATAATACATAAATAACAACAGACTACTAGCAGTTAACTGACATGCCAGCTCCAGACTTCAATTAAACTGATTGAAAGATTATGTCTTCATCATATGAATATCAGGCACAATCCTTCCCGTTAGGGGTTTAGTAAACTAGTATGTTTAGTTTTCACTGTTTCCAGATATGTTTGTTTTTGTTTGTTTATGTTCCTTGAATTGTCTGTTCTATGCACATTTTCCGCATTTTTGAATACTCCTTAGGCATTTATCTTTATCGTTTAAGGTTCATATGTTTGCGTCAAGTATTACTGGTAAGATATTAATTCTCGAATATGCTTGAGTGATGCTTGAAGACTTTGGAAAAATATTTTTTGAATTGTGAAATATGTCATAACACGATATATTTTGAATTGTGATTGGAAATAACTAACCTGAAAAGCTGAAAAGAAAGTTTCTGAATCCAAGCTTAATATTGATCTCTGATTATATGTTCCATTCTTTGTCATGCTGAATAGCTGTAAACGGCGGTCTATATTGGAAAGAATACCTTCAAATTGCGCAATCGGTAAGCTAGCATTATATGAGCCGGGTGGAGGGAAGTGTCCAACTTTAAGATTATGCAACAGGTACTGTCTCATGTCAAGTAACCATTCAATCCTAGTATCCAAAGAAACTGAGGCGTTGTCAATTGCATGATACCAATGTCTTAATAATTTGCACCACCTTGCTGCTTCAAAATCCCCATTAATTTCCATTTCTCGTTGAACGCTTTCACTGAATGTTGTTTGAGCAAATGAGTTTCTTTGTCGATCACGTAGTTCCTTAGTAATTTCCCATGACAATCCTGTTTTATTATCTTTTTCATTTTGGGCAACTTTCCACCAGGCCTCTGGTTGTATAGCCATATCAGTCAAACCCTTAGAACAACATCTTGCCCGATTATTGACAAACAAGTGATGAGGATGGTTGAATATATCGGTCATTTATCATTGATGGTTGTGCATACCATTGCTGTATTTTGTACATTTTTCCAGATTCCGTTTTTATTGTCCAAATTCCTTGAAAAGGGTTACTCGAATCCCATTCACTGAAAGCGTCATCAAACGTTGATTGTGCGAATGCAACATTGATTGCATCGATAGGCCATTTTCTGATATGAACCGAGACTATATTCTTTAAAGATTTTGGTTTATTTCCACCAATTGCGATCGTTGATTCGTCAACATAAATACTGGATACTAGATTCACAAGTTTTGCTTTCAACATATCATTGTAGGTTTTTGGTGAACAGGTTAGACTTAAAAATAACTTTCAACTCTTCAACTTTAAAAGTCTGATTTATTTTGATAGCAGTTGCAAAACTGTCCTTAAAATTGTCTAAACTGCATGATTCCCATGTAGAATCTGTTTCAGGATTTTTTGATCAATTAAAGCGATAAGAGCGGCTTCGAAGTCTATTTGTTGAGGCTTAAAATCTTGAACATCAGTTACTGGGTCCTTTAAGGTGTAATACCACCATTTATTTTCCCCTATTAGTCTTTGTTAAATTTGCACTTTTCAAAAAATTGTGCAGAATTTATCTTTGTTTTAAATAAAGAAATACTTGGCATGAGTAAAGTTTTATCCTGTCCAGTACTATAGAAAAAGTTTCACATAACATTTCATTGCATATAAGAAAATAACCATCACTGGAAGTTAACCAATCAAATTTTCCCCCTTTTTTAACCTGTATACAAGCTTTAGTAACCATGTAACCTCAAGTTTCCAAAATATTCTATAGAAACCCCAAATAAAAAAATAATGGTGCTTTGAAATACCCAAGATATATGTTTATGACCCAGAAATGATTTACTGCAATGAAATGTAGGATCAATTACCTACAACTGTCAAATTCAAGGGAATATTTTTTTTCGACCTATTTTCGTATGCAACCGAATATGACGTACTGTGATTTGGTGGTATTACACCTAAAGAAGACTTTTTTGTTAAATAAACTGAATGTGACTTTTTTCCTTTATAATACTGGTTATTTCAAGCATTCCTGTCAAGTTTTGTCATAATCAGTTCAATAGTTTGAGAAAAATCTAGTATAATGTAAGATGACATCTACAGCGATTCGAGCAAAATTTCTTCGAAAAATCCAAACCAAGCCGCATCATGATAGAATATAGTGTGGACCAATAAATGATCAAATATTTATCTCATCTGCCTACAAACAGTTGAATATGATACAAAAGATGACTTTAGGATGATAAATACTACTAATGGACCTCTTTATCTTCCTTATAAGGTCTCTTTTGGTCCATTTATACCTTTCATTTCCTCAAAATTTCAACTTTTTAGGCCAATAAATAAAAATTTTAGGGTAACTTTCACTCATTTATGATAGAAATGTTATAATAAATGATTAATTGAAGTATTCAATCTGAATGAACTATCCGTATAAAAGTTTATTGTCTCCAAGGAGGATTCGATAAGTCCTTACGTAAAACTTAAATTTA